AAAAAAAAAAAAAGACCAAAAGGGCACTTGGGGGCAAGGAGCAAAAGGGGCAGGTACTCAAGCCCCCCCTCCGGTACTCCCCTCTACACGTGCCTGAGTCTGGGTTTGGAGGCGGTCTCCGTTTATTTAATCTGTCAATCGGGAGATATTAGCATTAGCACCTAGCAGGTGCTCTAGTTCTCCAACCCAAACTATACAAAATAATAGTTAGCATGCATCAAATGATATAAAGGTGTAATAGCAACTCAAATAAAAATATCCAAACTTCATTAATACAGAAGGAAAAATAAACATTTGAACAATATAAATGAAAGGATTATAATAGATCATAAAACTTGCCTCTCCCCAGTGGAACGAATAACAAAAAGGAAGAGGAAATTAATAACTTAATATTTATAATAGTCCTGGAAGACCCTGAACAAAAAAAGAAGAAAATAAGGCGGAGTTGGAGGACCAAACCCCTTATAGTAGACACAGAGGAACACAACAGTCAAGTAGAAGCAAATACATGAAAGAACACATTTTGTGGAAATATACAACTATTAATATAGACCCAGTTACATATGCAAACATTTATTTTAAAAGTACATGTTGGAAAAAAATTATGCCAAAAGACGAGACTGAAAAGAGGAAAAACAATTTTTGGATCCCAGAATGAAATGGTTAATCATCCAAGGCAGCATCGTTAAGATGACTGTCTCCCTCTTGTGGCCACCGGCAGCGTCGACAGAGTTTAACAAGGTAATGTTTTTCTCGCAGGCAGCAGCAGTATGGGGCATAACAAGCCTGTGGATCTCACTGCCGTTTTCTAGCTCTGTCATTCCTGGACTCATGAACTAAAGAACATCTGTGCCGTTTTTGGAAAATAACCACCTCAAAAAAGTGTGATATTTGCGAGGAAAAGACGAGCGTTTCCGTCCGCGCTGCTTTGTTTATCTTCATGGAGTCGTCGGACCGGAGTTTGTCTGAGATCTCTGCGCTGTCCGTGGATTAACTCGGGACTCGCCTCTTCTGTGGAGAGCCGTGACATATCTATCCCAACTACCAGCGTGGATTGTGTCGCACACGGACAGTTTGGGAGATAATTATTCTCACTTTAGGGGAAATAAAGTGGAAATTGTATCAAGTCAATGAATGCGGGACCAACGGACACTTGTTGAAACAGTTTAAGCGTCGCTGTTTTGTCGCAGCATTTTAGCTGAAGAGGTTAAAAAACTTGAGTTTTTTTTTAAGCAAAGGAAGACAACAAAAGGATACGTTGTTAAAAATTACAAACATGGTCCGGTCAGCAGCTTAGCTAAAGGGGTTAGCTGCCGCTGTTCGTTCAGTTGTGTTATGTTAGCAACATGCTAACGTTATCCTAACATTCAAACAAGTAGTTTGTTCAAATGCGCTAATATGAAGTTAAATACGCAGATAAGTTGCTGTGTTTATCAGTTTATTCTCGAAACTAAGTGTGAATAATTTTCAAACATTAAAACAGCAGCATAGTTTTAATTTATTCCGTTACAAGTAATCGGGAGATAACTTTTATGACAGCTTAACGTTAGCTTAGCCGCGTTAGCACGACCAGGCGAACGGAGTCAGTTTGCGGCAACTTGGTACTGCCGCTCATGTGCGGAGTGTTTCCAGGGACTCCAATGGGTCTGCAGCTGCGCTCTCAGAGAGGATTTGGAAGATAAATAGCCCTCCGCCTCATCTCCAGAACGGTCTTCCACTTTTCTACCCCCCGCTAAAGTTTTTAAACTGCGGCCCGCACAATGTCCGGCTCCGCGGGCACAGGTGGCTCCAACCCCAGGAAGTTCAGCGAGAAGATCGCGCTGCACAACCAGAAGCAAGCAGAGGAGACGCGGGCCTTTGAGCAGCTGATGACCGACCTCACCGTATCCAGGGTAAGTACAGCTCGTTTTCTCCTGCATGTGGTCCTCTGAACCCGGACAGCCGCTGCTGCTAGTCGGACAGATTGGGCTGAGATTTGTGGTATCAGTTTGGTTTTCCTTCATGCGGCTGGGTCTAGTCTGGAGGTTGACTTTCAAAACATAAAATGACTTCAAATATTTCAATTTAAGAGAAAATAAATTAATCACTCATTTGCATGTTCATCTTAAGTAGTTGTTCAAAGTCCTGCAGATGTCTCTTCCTCTGACATCTGCAGGAAGATGATCCAAATGGTTCTGTCTCCTCCTCAACCTCTGCAGAATCCCGTTAATGAGCCATTTATTTAAATCAGGTGTGCAGAAGCACCAAACCTGCAGGAATAGCCTTGCTCAAGGGCTTTTAAAAATCAGATCAAATATACAGATATTCAGATTGGCTGGTAGAATAATTATCCCTTATGTATTGTTCCGTGTCTGTTTTAATTGTTAATTAACTAATAACTAATATGTGAAGAAATATTTTATTTGTGGTTTAGTCAGTTTCAGCAAAAAACCTACTCAATTTATTTCACTTTTTAAAAATATTTTTATCACTTTGTATATCAATGTTTAGGAATTTCTGTTACATTGTTATAGTTATTTAGAATAAAATATATAATTTATATATATCACACATATATAATGTTTGTTTACTAGTTTAATCATTTGCAATATGTTTGGCTGTGATGCCTGTAAAGCACACTGTGCTGCAGTTGTATAATTGAACACTGCTCTACAGAAAACTGATTGGCTGGAACTACAGCAGCTGCCACTAAAATTTACTGCCCCCACTTAATTTCAAAGGTAACACATTTTTTTTAATTTGACTTTTTTCCACGGCCAAATTTCACATTTTGTGAAACTTGATATATTTTTTTCTCTATTAAAGCCTTTATTTTAAAAATAAGTCAGTTGGATGTCCATGTAACATAAATGTTATTGAATAACATATTTTTGGGCTCATCTGGTTTGAATGTGATTCATTCAGATATTAACATGATCTACATGGAAACTGAAAAAGTTATTTTCTGGCTGATATCCCAATGCACTGACTTGACTTGGAAATTCAAACTTTGTCTTTCTACTGTCACTCTAAATTGTTCTGTTAGCAAAAATAAAACACAGTAATGGGTTAAAATGAGTCTTAAATACATTTTTAAATGACACCAATATGCCTGGGTTCTGCGTTGTTTAGATCAGCATCTCTCAACTCTGGTCCTGCACGTTTTAGGTGCTGCTACACAGCTGACTTACATCAGTAGCTGATTACCAGGTTTCTGCAGCTGGATGCCATGCAGTCATTAGGATCAGGTGGATTGGAGCAGAAACACACCTGAAACATGGAGCAGGGTTAAGGAAAACCACTCCAACACACCCGACCCAAATGCCATTTGGAGTAGCCTGTTGAAGAGCCACTCATTTAAATCAGGTGTGCTGAGGCAGGGCACATACAGTTTGGAGTTGTGATCTAAGTTTGGGAACAAAAAAAGTCTGTTTTAGTTGAGCTCTAGTTAGTTTGCCTAAAAAGTCTGGTTCATTTGTGGAGGTGTGAATGTGTATCAGACTCTGATGTGACCTCTGTTCTGCCTACAAACCTTGGTCTCAGTTTGGCTGAAGTGAACACTGTTCCGGTTTGAATGCATGTGTTAAGAGGACTAGAGACCACTTCAAGAGCAGGAAGTACATTACAACGCAGGGCATTCTGGGTAAATACAACCAAAATAAACATGCTAGTATAGCGTTAGAGGTAGAAATGGCTCATGGTCTTTAGCCAAAGACAAAAGAGAAATTTCACAACCGCTAAAATCTGACGCCACTCCATTTCTGTTTACATTTGGTGAAGGAAGAAATTGCACTCAGTGTCTTTGTCAGAGGTTTTCATGTTGTGTCCTTCAGTGGTTCTTGGTGCAGCGCCCTCACAGGTGAGGAGGGGAACAGCTTGCTCTGAAGGTTTGGTTCTTTTGACTCAGCGCAATGAGAAAGAGAGCAGCTGAAAACGTAACATGAACCCATATTATTCCAAGCATTGTTTTTTAACATGCCAAACCCACAGGGGGCAGTGAAGAGCAAAGCTACAGCCTTTGTTAGCCAATCAGATTGCATCAAAACAACCACGACTTCCTGTTAGGATTTAAATATGGCGCCCGGAGATTTGTTTGTGTTAACAGATATATATGTTGAGAACATAAAATGAATACAACAGAAGACAGAAATAATTGTTTTTAGTGATATTAAACTGATCTTTCTGGTGAATGAAAATCCAAAGCCCATAAATGTATTCAGATATCTGGCTGTGTATAGACTAGGCCTCAAACATGCATTGTTGTATATTACTAAATTATACTGTATAGTACTACAGTATATGTTGATACTGGTCCTTGAGGATTGGTTTAGGACATTGTGATGATGGAAAAGACAGAGAAGATTGATGACAATTGGGTTCCTAACAACCTATGTTATTGTGGTAGTTTCAGCAATGATTTAATTCAGTGGTTTTCCTCTGGACCTCCAGTTCTGCCCGTTTTATGTGTCTCCTTATTGCTGAAATAACTGGGCTATTAACCGGCTCCAGCAGCAGTAGTTGGCCTGCAGAGGAGGTCCTGCAGTCACTTCAATCAGCCCTGCTGGAGCTGAACATCTAAAACATGAAGACTGGTTGGGAGCCATAGATAGCATATCATGTACGTTGCCTGTTTAAATGGTAATGTTCAACTCTAGTTGATTTAACTTTAACAACCTTTACCTTTGAGTTGCCATACTTCACTGTAATTTCTCGTCTAACTCTTTAAGTTGTTTTTTGGGTTGGGCTTTTTAATTCCCTGCAGAGAACTTACTTAGAAATTATTTACTATGTGTGTAAGTGTTTACACTTTGTTTATTTCTTGGGTAGATGAGAAATGTATCAGAGATCACAAACCGTTCTTTTCAGGTATTCATATTGGGCAGCTGATAACAGGAAGTCCTCATATATTATATTATGTGACACCAGAGCCGATCAAAGCCATGTTGCCAGTTAACATATTAATGTCTTCTGACTGTTTGGTTTCTGGCTATAAATTAAAGGTGCTCAAAATATTGGATTGCAGTTGTCATCACCATGTTCAGATGCGCATCCATGGCTCCATGGAGGCAACGATAGGCTTGGAGAGCCATGGATCGTAACGGCGGACTGGAGACATGACCATCTAAAATCTGCTGATTACATGTCTCGGTCAAGGTAGAACCTTATACGATCCTTTAATAGGCCTCAAGACGACCAGTGTTTGTTTTTGAAGCGATTTTCTTTGGTTTCATCTTGCTTGTAGGAGCTTTTCTAATGAAGGGGAAATTCTGTGACATTTCTGTTATTGCCCTTGGTCCAAAGAAGTGTTTGAACATAGAAACTCAACGCCGTAACCTGTCCACACAAAGCGAACCCTGGGGGTTATTGAGTCTATTCGAAGCGGAGGAATCCTGAGGTCATTTCGGACTCGTCTTCCACTTCCTGTCTTGTTGTTATGTCACTTTGCTGTTGCAGCAGAAGGACAAAATGCCCTAATGAGGGAATCGTCCTTTAATTACATCCAGAGAAATTCTAACATTATTTTCCTCATCTGATCTGTGAGGTTCGCAAATGAGGTGGTTTTGAGTTGCGCCTGAATGTAAAGTGTGAACTGCTGCTGACCCAGTTCAGTACATGGGACAGCTGGGTTTAGAAGCAGATGGTTAAATATTCACACCAGCAAACAAATGACTTAGGAAACCATCCTCTGTAGCTGAATGCACAGACAGTTCCAGGACTTCCCTCAGTTGCTTTTTGCGGCAGGTAGTTTGCATTTTGATGAACAATAGATGTGTTATGTTGGATGTTTTTTTTTTTAATGGAAACATCACCGTTACTATCAGAGCCACGTTGTTTACTGCTGTTTGTTTATGTTTGTGCAGTAGCAGAATTAATTCTGTCATCTTGGAAGAGAACATCTTCAGGTTGCACGTTTAAACTGAAAAAAGTATTTAGGATTTTCTTTTCAGTGCAAACTTAATAGAAAGCAAAATTATTTGATGATTTAGGAAGTATTTATTAATAAACGTCTTTTTTACTTCTTCCAGGCTTGCAGGAGTATTATTTCTAATAAATAATTCGGTAATTATTTGACTTATTTTTCTTAGTTGAGAGCGATTTACAGAAAAGTCTATTAAGTCCAAGTGAAACACATTATATGGATTAATTGTACAAAGCCTTCATTTATCTCCATTTTCACTCGAAATATGTGAAACTTTATTAGAAATTGCTTTGTTTTATTTTTAAACAACAAAGCAGTGGAAAAAAACAGAAATTTGGGGAAAAGGTTTAAAGTGAAGTGAGATAAGAGAGAAAAAATAAATCAACGCCATAGAAGTCTGCCTGTAAACCTGCAGAAAGACAGAAAAAAACAAAACAGAGACAAGCAACATATGCATATATAATGTTGTAACATCACTGAAAAGTTTATTCTAAGTTGATAAAAGCTGAATCGAGTGAACTGCGCCCCAGCATAGAGTGTATCTGGGAAACCTTAATCTGAATGAATCTTAATCATGATGATTTTCTAACACATTTAAGATTAGAACATTAAATCAGACCAATTTAAACACAGAAATGAGGACCTAATGGAAAATGCTTTATTACCTGTTTAAAGGTTGCTATTTTCAAAAAGTGTTTTTAGTCAAATAAGACTCACCAGGATGTGTATTCTACTGTAATGAATATGACTTTATTTGGTTAAATTACCTGCCTGATCTTAACATAATGCCTGTTTCATATACATTCAGTTTTTCCCCTCAAGATATTCATAATTTATTTACTTTGTTGATCCCATTCCAACAAAATGTCCTAATGAGGAATTTAAGTCCCAGACAAAATGAAATATCAGGTATTACTTTGGGTTTCCTTCCATAAGCTTCTCACTGCGGTTTGCTGGAGTTTTTGCCCATTCCTCCTGACAGAACCGGTGGAACAGGGTCAGGTTTGTAGACCGGCCGCGTTGCTCACCCACGCCTTTTCAGCTCTGCCCACAGATTCTCTATGGGACTGAGATCAGGGTTTTGTGTCGGCCACGCCAAAACAATGAGTTTGTAGCACTTTATAACCACTCTGGTAGTAAACTTGTTTGTTTGGACGACGTCTTGGGAAGTCTTGCGACGTTTTGGAGTCGTCGCTTCTTCATCACTGAGCGGCATTTCAGCTCATGTTGGTACGAGACTCTTTCTACACCACCTAACTGAACATATGGATGTGGAACCTTCTCTACCTGATATCTTGACTGTTTTTCTTGAAGGAGATATATAAGGCAAACTTTTTGCACATTTTTGTATTTCCATTTGGGTTTGCTTCTAAAAACAGCCCAAACGCTTAAAAAGCACCCAGATGTTTTTTGGCAATAATTTATTGTTTTTTGGTATCTGGAAAATGAACCGTTTCAAAAACCTCCCAATTGGTAAGTCACAATTGGTGGCCTCTGTGCCATTATCTAGCAACCCTAGCCCAGCCAGTTAGCTAGCAACATAAGCTGAGCTCCAGCACATTTGGTCAGCTGGTTTTACCACTGTAAGGCCTGTACAATGGCTACTGGAAAATACAAGTGTTTTATTGACTTACCATCCAGAAATCTCTTACTACATTCTTGTTGGTTGTGCAGGAGGCTCCACTTCTGCTTTTCAAAGATATATTGCACATCTGTTAGCAGAAATTTTCAAATGTGAGTGTAAATCTTGAGTTTGGGGGTGTGGCCAGCAGCAGATTATTTGGATTTAAAGTGACAAAACGTCCTATAACAGCTCTAAATAAACAGAACTGAGTCGACTGAAATCTCATTATCCAAGAATGATTTTGTGCAAAAAATGTAATGAACATGTTTTGTATAGGCCATAGATTTAACCTCTTCAAAGAAGCAAAATTTAAAAATGCCTCAACAGGTGTGCCTCATTTTAACTCAAATGTTGTGAATTGACCTCTCAGATGCATCATCATCTGGATCTTCCCTGTTGTTAAAGGCACGTCAGCAGTTCTTCCCTCTCTGACGCCTGTTTGTCTCGGCGTCCTGCAGGTGCAGTTCCAGAAGGTCCAGCAGCTCCGTCTGTCCCAGTCCCGGGCGCAGTACTACGGTGGCTCTCTGCCCAACGTCAATCAGATCGGCAACACCAACGCAGATTTTCAGGTGGGAACTTGTAATTCACCTCCAGCTCTGATGGGCGGAGAGCAAAATAAAATGTTATGAATCGTTTCAAGGACGAGTTTCATTGAGTAATTCCTTCGGTTTGTCAAGGATTTGGCTTATTGTGCAGGAGATCAGCCAGCTCAAAGACTTTTTAGCTGTTTTACATCAACACCATTCTGCTTTTCTGAAACTTCTAGGAGCTTCAGCACAGTCTTTTGTAAAACCAGATAAAGAACAGCCATGCTTTGTACTGTTTTATTGAAGCCTTTTGCATCCCTTCAAACAAACAAAGCAAAGCCATTGTGCTGAAAATTGTCCGTGTGGATAGAACAGATAAATAAAAGACACAAACATGGATGTTTTCTGTAGAATCTGCTTATCTTTAGATCACAATCTGCCAGATCAAGGTCTGCCTCATCTTCTCAAGGCCAGTTCTGCCTGGCAGCTTCTCCTAATGTGTAATTCTCCAGCAAAAACAGCTCAACTGGGAACCAAACTCACAGAAATGCAAATAAACCTTTTCTAGAAGCTCTGAATAATTTAGAGTTATGGACGAAGAGGGGAGAATGAAATATCAGTGCATTAATCCTTGACAGTTTTCAGAAGCTGAGCTTTTCTCTTTCTGTGTCAGCTCCCTCAGGAGTGCTGGGAGACTGCAGGTCCAGGTAAAGGTGCCCTTGTTATTTGGAAGAATGGCTCTTTTTAAGTAGAGCTGCCATCCAGAAATCAATCCCAGCTCAGAGGGAGAAAGCTCCTCTTACTCAAAGAGTCCATTTATCCTTCTGAGAACAAAACGGAATAAAACCCCTAAATGGCTCCTTGATTCCCTTTTATAATTATTTATCAAACATTGTTCAAATTAACAAATCCTCTCTGGCTAATGCAGCACTCCTAAAACAGAAAAAACGTACGTGTTTTATCTGTAACTTATAGTTAAGATGTGTCTGTGATGTCGTTTGATTTCTGCAGATCTTTGTTTAATGAAGGAAGCAAACTGCACCATGTGGGAGTGCTGAAAGAGCTTCATGCTGGTTATTTTTACCATGGAGATAACAAAAACATCCTAGAAAACTTCTCCTCAGTGCATTATAAAGTTGCTGACATGTCAGATTCTTGATTTTTAATGATCCAGATCCGTATCGGAGGGAGACGGACTCTCATCGATCTGAAAAGGAGCTTTATGCTCCGGCTTGAGTTACTGTCACGCTTTGAGTCGCTGCGTTCTTCACGCTGATTGGTAGCGAGGATAAACGTCGAAAGAGCATTAAATTAAATTCTGCTTTTATTGCAGTTACAGAATCGCATATTGGAGTTTTTAATTTGATTGTATTCATTTAATAAAGAAATATGATGTAAAGCTCAAAAAAGTCAATTTTGCAGAATACTGCCTCTTTAATTATTGCTCAGGCTGCAGATTTTGGTTTGCAGCTACTTTCCATCTTCCTGGAATGACATTCTGTCTTATCTTTCCCATTTTGGATAGTGCTCAAATGATGATTAAAATGGTTTTAGTGTGGGATAATGCTGTTGCTTTTCCAGAAAAATAAAGTCAGATCATAACATCTGGATGCTACATGTGAATAACTGACCTTTTTTTTGGGAACGCTGCTGCTGTCTGATGTAAGCATCCTGCTCCTGTCTCCTCCACAGGGTGGCTTCCCCTCAGGGCTGGACTCGGTCCGGGGGACCCGCCACCACGGGCTGGTGGAGCGGGTCCACAGGGACCGCAACCGCATCAACTCGCCTCACCGCCGACCCATCGACAAGCACGGCCGGCAGATATCCTTTCATACGCGTTTAACGTTGCCACGGTGAACCTGGACCATGCAGTCGGTCCCGTTTGTTTGTTTGTTTGTGTTTACGTTGCTGTCCAGTTTGTGACGACGGAGGTGAATTGTTGCCTCGGGAGCGGAGTTAGTCATTAAAATAAATGTGACGCAGAAACGCCATGCACAGCTTATGACTAATATAAAGTGAGAGTGGTAGGTTTACGAGCAGGTTGTAATCTGGCGAGGATGGAGTGAAAAGCAGAGCGGTTAATGTTTTCTTCCTGTTGGCTTCAATTGTTTGCAGCCAGCTAATGTGTGCTTGTGTGGGTTGTATAAATCTCCCACCATCAGAGCATCAGAGATAATCACTCAGCTGTTTAGGTTTTGACCCGAAACGGTACTAACCATTTTAATTGAATTTATCCAGCATGTTGTCCTGACAGCTGGACCTAATGAGGAATCTGCTTCCAAACACGATGATGATGATGATCTCTTACTAATGTTACGAGTGTAGTGAGTGTTTCCAATCAAATCATCTTGAGCCGCCTTGTGCAGTTTTCTTTAGGGAAAACTGCACAAAAGCAATTAATCCTCAGCGGCAGTTTAATGAACTGACCTGTTTTATTATTTGATCCTTCTTATGTCTTTGTTTACTTTGATTTAATTTCAAACACTACACTGCAAAAACACAAAGTCTTAAGTATTTTTGTTTAGTTTCTACTGCAAATATCTTAGCACACTTGAATTAGGACAAACCTCCTGGTTTCATTTTTATATTTGCTTAGTTTTGCTAACTTTGTCTAATTGACCATGATAAGGTTTCAGTCAGAAAGCACTCAGAACTGATGTAGATTTTAAAGTGTTTACGATGCATTCTGGGTACAGAATAAACATAATTTTACTGCGTAAACAATCTGCACCCACTTCAAAATAAGAGCGTGAATATAAACGTCTAACATCTTTGGTCGCATTTTCCTGCTGTGTGAAAGTATCTTTAGTGAAAAATAACCCTTCTTTATGTAACTGCTGCTCTGAAGTTGCCTGTTTATTTATTTTTTAACACCAGTATTTGCGTTTGTGATGATATTTTACGTTGAAATCGTCAGCCCCTACCGGCCAGAGATGATCAAGCTGAGAATAGATTCAGTAAATATCACATTGTTGACGACCTGCTGAACTCTTTTAGTTCTTCCTTTGCATTTTAATGTGTTTTTTGTGTTCCAGTTATCGCCACCTACTGTTGGGCAGTGATATTTCTTCTTATTTTATTGTAATTACTAGAGGTGTGCCGATCGATCGGTCACCGATCATAATCGGGCCAATTTCCGTGAAAAAGTGCATGATCGGTGA